TTTTGTATTTTTAGTAGAGATGGGGTTTCACCATGTTGACCAGGATGGTCTCGATCTCTTGACCTCGTGATCCACCCGCCTCGGCCTCCCAAAGTGCTGGGATTACAGGCGTGAGCCACCGGGCCCGGCCACATTTTTTTTTTTTTTAATTATTGGAAAAAATGTGTAAAACTGATCATTGGAATTAGGGCTAAATCATGAAGGAACTCATGCAGAAAGAGAATAGAAGGCTGGTTACCAGAAGTTGAAAAAGGCAGTGGGAAGTAGGGATGGTTAATGGGCACCAAAAATAAAAGTCAGAAGGAATGAATAAGATCTAGTATTTGACAATACAACAGAGGTACTATAGTCAAGAATAATTGTACATTTAAAAATGACTAAAAGAGGCTGGGGGTGGTGGATCACTTGAGGTCAGGAGTTCCAGACCAGCCTGGCCAACATGGTGAAACCGTATCTGTACTAAAAATACAAAAATTAGCTAGGTGTGGTGGCCTGTGCCTGTAGTCCCAGCTACTCAGGAGGCTGAGGTATAAGAAATTGTTGAACTTGGGAGGGGGAAGATGCAGTGACCCAAGACTGCATGCACCACAACACTCCAGTCCGGGAGACAGAGTGAGACTCCGTCTCTAAAAAATAAATAAATAAAAGACATAATTTGATTGTTTGTAACTAAAAGGATAAATGCTTAGGGGGATGGACACCTAATTTTCCCTGATGTAATTATTATACATTGCATGCCTGTACCAAAATATCTCAGATGCCCCTTAAATATATATACCTACTATGTACCCACTAAAATTAAAAATTAAAAAAAAAAAACAAAAATCAAAAAACAGGCCCAGCTTGTTTTTTGTCCAAATCTGTAAATGTCTTTATTTCCCTTTGCTTTAAGCAGTTCCAAGCCAGGCGTGGTGGCTCATGCCTGTAATCCTAGCACTTTGGAAGGGCAGGAAGATCGCTTGAGGCCAGGAGTTTGAGATCAGCCTGGGCAACATAAGGAGACTCTGTCTCTACCAAAAATTTAAAAATTAACCAGGTATGGTGGCACAGGCCCATAGTCCAAGCTACTTTGGAGGCTGAGGTGGGAGGAATGCACGAGCCTGGGAGTTCACAAGGCTGCAGTGAGCCACGACTGTAGCAATGTACTCCTGCCTAAGCAAAAGAGTGACTACCTATCTCAAAAAAATAGTCAATAGACCAGCCTGGCCAATACGGTGAAACCCCATCTCTACCAAAAAAATACAAAAATTAACCAGGCATGGTGGCATGCACCTGAAGTCCCAGCTACTAGGGAGGCTGAGGCATGAGAATGTTCGAATCCTGGAAGCAGAGGCTGCAGTCAGCCGAGATTCTGCGCCACTGCACTCCAGCCTGGGTGACAGAGTGAGACCCTGTCAAAATAAATAAAATAAAATAAAATAGAAAACAGAAAAAAGAAAGAAAACAGGCAGTTCCACGGGAGTACACATTTCCCAGTTGACAGTTACTTTCTTTCAACTGTTATTCTGCTATCCTCTGGCCTCCATCATTGAGATATTTGGCTGTGATTTCTTTAACAGATAATCTCTCTTTTCTCTCTGGCTGCTTTAATGGTCTTTTTCTCTGCATGGAGTGGGGATATTTATATTTAAATAAATAAATGAAAAAGTTTTTGTCACTGGTATTCTATAATTTCACTATACAACGTGTAGATATGACTTTCTCTCTGTTTATTCTGCTTGGGATTCATTAGGCTTCCTAAATCTGAAGATTCATATCATTTACTAACTATCAAGAAAAATTCAGTCATTGATTTGTTTTTTTTAGACAGAGTCTCACTCTGTTGCTCAGGCTGTAGTGCAGTGGTGTGATCTTGGCTCACAGCAACCTCCACTTCCCGGGTTCAAGCGATTCTCCCTCCTCAGCCACCTGAGTAGCTGGGATTACAGGTGCATGCTCCATGTCCCAATAATTTTTGTATTTTTAGTAGATACGAGATTTCAACATGTTAGCCAGGCTGGCGTCTGACTCTTGACCTCAAGTGAATGGCTGTCTTGGCTTCCCAAAGTGCTGGGATTACAGGCGTGAGCCACTGCGCCCAGACTCAATTCCCCTTTTCATCTGTTTATCCCACTGACACAAACTGAGGGGACTGCTTGAGGGCAGAGAAGCCAGGTCTAAGGAGTCTGACTTGCTCGATCATTAAAGAAATCAATACCTCAGCCATTCTATCACCCATTTTTGGCACATATGCAGCACAAGAGGGCTGTTTCAAGACACCCTAATCCTTATGAAGCAAATAGGGTATTTGGCTTACCTATCTGAAACATTCCAAACTTTAAAATTTCATTAATCAGTAAAAGTTTTAGGGAAAGACATATGCTTGCCAACTTTGTATTTACAAAATGAAAACAATCATTTTTTATTTTTACCGACTACACCATTATTTCATAAAAGACATTTAACACACAAGTATAGTGGGCCAGGTATGGTGGCTCATGCCTGTAATCCCAGTCCTTTGGGAGGCCGAGGCAGGCAGATCTCTTGAGGCCAGGAGTTTGAGACAAGCCTGGCCAACATGGTGAAACCCTGTCTCTATTAAAAATACAGAAATTAGGCCGGGCGCGGTGGCTCACGCCTGTAATCCCAGCACTTTGGGAGGCCGAGGCGGGTGGATCACGAGGTCAAGAGATCGAGACCATCCTGGTCAACATGGTGAAACCCC